TCCAGAAACAAAAATAAGAGGCTTTTCAGCTTTTTTAACCTACGTATTTCTGGCCGAACAGTTTGAATCTCACTGGCGTTTGACCTGCTTGGCTAAAATTTCCCTTAGCACGTAACTGAGTTTCTTGTAACCACAGCTCAATTGACTGGTGAAGCATTGGCGCTGTTAGAGACTTTATAAGGCCTTCTTACACCGCAGTCCCTTTGCAGCTTCATTAACTTAATTGCCAGAGCTTTCCCTCCAGCTTCTCAAGTCATTTCAGTACGCTGAACGCCTGAACGTATTTACACATTTCCCATCCCTTCGGCACATCATTTTTCTCTCCAGCTAAGTTAAAAAAAAAACAGAGACTTTATAAGGCCTTCTTACACCGCAGTCCCTTTGCAGCTTCATTAACTTAATTGCCAGAGCTTTCCCTCCAGCTTCTCAAGTCATTTCAGTACGCTGAACGCCTGAACGTATTTACACATTTCCCATCCCTTCGGCACATCATTTTTCTCTCCAGCTAAGTTAAAAAAAAAAAAAAGCACTATCACCCCAAGAGGGCATCATTCTCCCAAGACGGCAGGCCTGATACTTCTCCATTAAGAAACGAGCTGCTTTGTAGCACAGAGAATCAAATCAGTTCTTCTGCAGTGCTCCCATATATACATGGGAGGGAGGAGCTTCACGCCGCCCTCAGTGAGCCGCACAAAATGACACCTAAGCGATGAGATCGACAGTTTGCCATTGCAGGGGCCTACGAACGAAGAACGATCTGCCAGCATGCCTGCCCCGTGCCAAACGCGACACAACCGAGAGGCTTAAGGGTTGCGGGAAAAGTCAAGCTTCTGGGCAACCTGGGTTCTGAGAGCCTGTTTGGCAAATTTGAGGTTATTCCAATGTAGTGCTCTTATTTGCTACATGTCAGAATAATGGCAGAGAAAATAAACAAGCTATTAAGGAGCAACGGTTAGTAAAAAGAAACTGCACTTGATATGAGATATTTTTCTGTGCCCTACATGTGATATTTAAATCGCACTTTAAAGACACAGGCTGATATTTCAGGACCATCAGAGAAATTTGAACAGCCCACGCCAGTTGACAAATAACAAGAACTGTGTAGTCGAATCCCTTTGCTGCTTTTTTAAATTTCTACTCAGATGGAATCAATGCATCAAAAAATATTTACCTACACTAAAAAGGAATGTCTCTGAAATGAGGTTTCGTCATACACAGAGGAAGAAATCCACAGGTGCCTCAACTTACTTAAGACTTTCCTGCTTGGCAGGTCGTTATACAGCTGTTCGGCATTGATCTGCAGAGCCCTGTAAAACTCCTGACAGTGTCTCTCTCCTTTCTTTTGAAGGTGCTTTAGCAAAGCTGAGAGCCTGGTTTGGAGCGACGCCTTGGGATTCCTGAACTGTAAGAGAAAAGCACTCATCAGAAGACAGATACAACAGCTGGAGGTCAATGTTACATCATTTCACAGTATGCCAGGAACGGACTGGAGGTATGGAGCTGATTTTATACCTGCTAAAAGAATGGGACAACAAATGAGGAGAATATGAAAAGCAGGTGCACGGCACAGGAATCTCCGAGACGCTGACCTCCACCCTGGAGACGCTCCCTGACGGAGAGCACGCTGCCTCTGCCTCCCCGAATTTTTGTTTCCGTCCCGATGCAGTGGCAGCCATTCCACGCTTGATGTTTTCTCTGCATGCGAACTAGCATGGTACTTGCTACTCTACAGCTTGGTTCTGACAGCAAATAGAAAACATCAATAAATACCACAAGAAATTTTAAATTTTTCAAGTTTTTCCTTAGTTTTCCTACTAGCGATGACCCCAATCAAGTACTTCAGGCTGTTGATATCAGTCCCCACTACTGAGGAGTTCATCGTCCCAGGATCACACGTCCCATTGCCTCCAGCAGAGCTAACTGCTGCACGCCCAGCCCATCACGTATAAACTCTCATTATTCAGGTAACAGGGCAAGCAGCAGCAGAAGGAATTACTTTTTCTATAGTCTAAAAAGTGACGAACATTAGGGGACCTTACAAGGAGAATGAAAACGTGTACCCAGCCTTGTGTACACATCAAACTGATTCCAGCTGATTTGGAAAGTGTCCAGAAACATTCTCAGCAAAGCGCTGTATTGCCGACCAGCAGAGCAGATAACGTTAGCAGTACACTTAGTTAGGATCGATTCCTTCTCGAGGGGGACAGCAATACAACATATCTGATATAACTCTCCTTAATCCAGCAAAATTCCCACAAGGTTGAGCGTAGACTGTAGCGCTGACAGAAGTTTGTGCCGACCTGCAGGAAAGCAGCTGATTTCTGTCTGCAAAGTGCAGAAGTCATTAAATTAGGTTTCAAAAATTCCTGATCCATTTATTTTGAGATACTTAATGGAATGAGGTTTCCTTTAATCGTGCATGTCGCGCTCTTTTTCATATCTCTGCGGCTAGGCTGGCTCAGCTGATGGTCTAGCATGGATCTACACCACCAAATCACTGCTCACCCCACGGAGCTCTAACTCACATTTGGTTATGACAGAATTAGGCCCATTATTATTAATGCTAAAATACCGATTCGCCAAGACCCTGAGGCTTGAGCAGACACTGAAATCGGTAGCGGGCAAGCACAAACTCTTACAATGGAAACATGGGAAGCCTTTAACTTTCACTCTGCACAGGTTTAAAAGACCTTTCTGCCTAAAAACAGGTGCATACGTTTGCAAGCCTCATACCAGGGAAAGGGGTCTCCTTCCAGACGCAGGTGTGCCTCTAGGAGATGCGGCCACCTGCAGCCACCTCGCACAGCTCCCGCACCCGCCAGCAGAGCGCCTTGCACAAACGCCCCCTGCTCTGGCATAACTTCTCGGAGTTATTGATCTGCAAGTAAAACTGATAAAGCCCACAGAGACGGTTTTGTAGACGCAGGAGGGATCACCTCCCGACACGACTCCGGCCGGACTGGGAGAGGGCTCACGAGAGGGCCCCGAAAAACAAAAAAACTGCGCTCACGAGAGGGCCCCGGAAAACAACGCAACACCCAGGGACAAAGCAGAATTCACTGCGTTACCTTTTCCGCTTCGGCGTCGGTGAGAATTTGGGGGTAGACTCTATTAAGCTGAAGAATAATTTTATCCACCACTTGCTCATTCAGTCGGCTGTTGCTCGTAAGAAAATACATGTCGTGTTGCAGCCGAACACAGTACGACTGATCTAGGGGTGGAAAAAAACACAAAGAACAAACCACTGTAATTCATCAGCAAACCCATTTTTAAGTAAGTTCTATACATTTCACTTTTCCTAGCAGCGGTTAAAAACGGAAAAATAAAATTGTTACCATCATCTAACTTTTGAGAGCATCTTTTAGGGAAATGCAATAGAGCCACGGGCTTCCGAAGACCCGTGCGCTCCCAACTATACGCATCCCAGCTCCCGGCTAGCCACCGACAGGGCCTCTCGCCTTCCGAAGGGAGAGCGCTCTACGCGATTCATAGACGTGCAGCACTGATGGACACCGAATCACATACAGTTACAGCATCCGCTCGGTCCTAAAGCTGTCAGATCACTGAAGATAAACCTTCCGCCAGCTGTAAACATGCAGTCAGACTACAGAGCGTAAAACCAGTGTGTTCTATAACATTTTTAACCTAAATATATATTCCGCAAAGCGATGTCCACTCTTATTTAGAGTTGCAAAAGCACACAGGTTTGGCCTCCGGGTACGGCAGTGAGGCGAGCACCCAGCGCAGGGCCCGCAGCTCCGTGCCCGGCGGCAGCGGCCCGCTCGCGCGCCCCGGCCCTGCAGCTGGCTGGACGAGCCAAAACGCATCGGCGCTAACACGACCCAGAGCTCCAAGCGCTTAGTGCTGCCTTCTGCCTAAACGGGGACTCCGGCCACTTGCACGGTTTCAACTGCCCAGGCTGAAATAGCTCGGCAACGTTAGGAACGTTGATTAATAACAATTAATCTCGGAATAATAACGGCATCTCTGCTAAAGAGCCACCAAGTCCATTTAGGCAAACGGGAAGGGCTTTTGCCTCCACTGCACCTGGGAGCGGGGAGAAAGAGCATGCAAAAGCAATAAATCTTCACTGTAAAAGCGCCTACAAAGAAAATAACTTTTATATTAACACAAACCTCAGCAAATACACACATCCAGATTCGCTTTGTTGTTTTGGGCACCGTTTCCAAATTGACAGTAACTGATTTTGCAGTTGTCCTCTGAGAGCACC